CGAAATTCCTGGGTTGAAAACAACACAGATGGAATCCAATCAAAAAAGACCAATGCTCCAAGAAAATGCTCAAAAGGATTTGTAGCCAGTTCTCCACAAAGTTCAAACAGAACGACTAACCAAACAAAGGTTGAAATCAACGACATAGAGACGAAGAGGCAAGTCGCCGGTCCAGAAGAACTGAAAAGTTCTGAACCGCCAAAGACCCCAAGGAAACCCGATTTCCGCCAGTCAGAAGTCTTGGCAAGTCCTTCCGCCCGAAGACGAAGATACACCGTTTGCTCTTTTCTTAGTGACAATGGCAGTTCTAATGAGCCTCAAAACAATTCAGTACTGAATAATAGAAAGGGAAGTGTACCGGTACCGGTAGTCGCAGCACAAAATGCTCCTCGCTCGCCAAAACTGGGGGAGAGAAACCTTTCGTCGGAGATCTTGAACGGTAGAAAGAAGCCAGAGCGAATCGATTTATCATTTAAATTGGATTCGTTGGCAAATGACTCGCAACAGTCCAAAGAATTTAGAAAACGATCGCGAACATACGAAGGGAAAACTCAAAACCCAAGGCGAGCTACATCAGCACTCAAACGATCTTCTTCCGAAGAACATTATCTCCCAGACGGAGATTTCCGAATACATCACGATAATCGCCGACTTGCTAACGGAAATCCCTCTCCCGGTGTTGGAAAATCACCGAGAGAAACTTTCCAAGCACAAGAGTCAAAGGACTCCCTAGAGATCTCCGAGAGTGGTTTATCTTCACTAAAGGATGCCGGAATTGTTTCACGCACTGATAATCGTTCGCTCTCAACTAGACGAGTATCCACGTCAATATTACACGGCCACAAATCAGCTTCGAAAGGTTTCAGTGAAAAGCAACCTTTGTCTCAACTGGATATCACCCAGCGTTTGAATCTATCTCCTCCACGCAGTCGCAGAGTTGACACTCCCAAGCCGTTACAAGACGACAAACAATCGCACTTGGGTGTCAGTACGAGCCCCACTCGCAGAAAATCTGAAACTGATTTGCGCAAGCTTGTATCTGAAGAAGAAGGAGAAGCGGAAAAACAAAGACAACTTTGTTTGACGACTCCTCCACGCACACGCAGAGGGAGCGACTCAAAGTCCGGGGAGAAGAAGACTTCTCTTGGTGTCAGCGGTAAGCTATCGTTAAGCAGGTCGGAAACTGATCTTCGTACACTTGTGTCCGATGAGGAACGCGCAGACGCGAGAAGACCAAGTCTGGCATCACCACAACGCGTGCGTAAACTAAACTCTTCTAAACTGCTGACAACTGTAGAGGCGTTGTGTTCGCCCTCAAGTCCAGTGTCTCCTCGTTTAGAACGCAAAATATATTTAGCAGCCGCCAAGCCAGCCGCACGGCTGCCCATAAGGGCTAAAGTCAGAAATGACTTGGCAGCCTCGTCTCAGATTATAATTGACCAAGCGGAGAAGGAACTGGACCAATGCAGTGAGCGTTTACCACATATCTCAATGGAAGAAGTGATGAAAAGCTGGCACACCGATAGCAGGCATTGGAATGTGGTGTCAAGTTTAGTTAAGCAGAATTCAGACTGCGCTTCTAAAACAAACATGGAAACGGTAAAAAACTGTAGATACATCAGAGACGGTGTGCTGAAGAAGAAAAAAAATTCTCATTAGGAGATGCTTGCGGACACTTACAAGCTCAGCTGGCCACAAACAAAATCTCCATGTTGACCTAGCAAAAGTAGACACCTTTTCAAGAAAGTGTTCACATTTTCTGCTGTATGTCCAGCTATCAGACTGAATCTTCTTTGATTAGTAACAATTGTTAAATTAGACGTAAACGCGATAAACTCAGTTAAACATATTTTTACATCCTATAGACCCATGCGAACAGAGATACCTTCCTTCTTTGTTAGCAGGATTTGTAAATAGCTGATTAAATTCTTGATAACTAATTCCACAACATGTATTGTAAATTTACAGTAGCTATGTGAAAATTAACAACCTTAGGTCACGCGGGTCGAGGCTTTACAGTTACCGCTTCGGCCACGTCCAATGAAGTTGAGCGTGAGTCAGTGTAAAAAGATTTTAGTTTCCTGATTGGGTCGTGACGTCATGTCAGGAAATCGCGCTAGTTCACGTCACTGTTGTTTCAGCAATGGTGAGGAATTGAACAGCTTTGTTGGCGAAGTACTGCCGTCGTCAAGCATGGGAAGAAGACCATATTCGTATTCTCGGTATGAGACTGGAACTAGCTTGCAACTGAGGCAAATGCAAATAACATTAAGGTAATTCCCCTGAAATAAAACTGCCAATAGATTTTTGTTCAAACTTTGTCCACTGAGTATTTATCATATGAGAACTTTAATTATGAAATAAAAAAAGGGGGGTGCCCATGCTCGTTAAGGAGCAGTGAGGCATTAAAAATGTTCTATCTGAGCATTATTTGATGCTTATTACAAGAAAGCATTCCGAGTTATTATAAACTCCTTGTGAGCCCAGACTCATGAAAACACGCCTCAAACTACAGTCAATACTTGTGTCGGACACAAATAAACTTTTTAAGTTTGATTTTGACAGACAGCTGAATCCTTGTTAAAATATTGGACCAAATTGCTTGCCACGGCTATCAAACTGCAAAATAGAAAAACATGACTACAGTGCAGCTGCTATTTTCCTTATTTATTCAATTTTCAACAATAGTAATCAGATCAGTCTTTTCTCACGCAAAGCTAATGATAAGTTGATTAAAATCACTGGAAAAAAATTTGGGGTGCCCGAGCTCGTTAGTGAGCTATAGCCATTTTTCAACTGACAGAACCCGATATCAAGGCAAATCCGCCATGTTTTCAATGTGCGCGTGCACGAACGCGCGCTAATGACGCCATAAATTATGCGCAGTAAGGATGCGCAATGCAAATGTGAGGAATCACCTTAAGACGGATTCCGCTCAGAGTTCGAGCAATAAGTGCAAAAATTATTTACTAAAAATCTACTCATAGCGCGGTAACTTTTGGAATGCTACTTAAAACAGCTCATTTTAGTTCGTTTCTCTACTAGTGACCCCGCGATTAAATTCTCAAGCATTCTCGAGAAAGTTAATGTCAAGCCTCGTAAGAATGCTGAGAGGACCCATGCCCGTGTGTTACTGTGTTTTCAACTAACGCGAAACGTCTGTTTTAATTGAAATATGGATAAATTCAAGTTCAATTTTCCCTCACGGGGTCAGCTTGAGGTTTTTTTTGGTAGTTAAATTTTTGCCATTATTGATCGAATATTTGCGAAAGCCTTCTTTATGTCTTTTTAATGATATTCCCCCGCGTGGCAAGAGCCTCCATTGCAAGCTAGTTCCAGTCCAATACCGAGAATACGAATATGTATGGGTTATTGACCAAGTGTGAGGGCAAGATTGCTGGATATTGGCCAAGTTCATTTGTTTGCGTGTCTATGGACCGAGACGGAGTCGAGGTCCATAAACTCGCAAAAAAAGAACGTGGCCAATATCCAGGCATCTTGACCGAACAAGCTTGGTCAATAAAGGATTTATTATATGGCTTTAATTTCGCGGAAATTTTTCTTGCGGGTCATGGCGGGTAGTCCCGAGCGGGCAAGATAGCTCCATCTTGCCCGCTCGGGTAGCCAATCACAGCGCAGGATTTGATTCATCTTGCCCGCTCACGGAGCTAGCCATACAATAAGGTCCGTTAAAAGCACGAAGCTTAGAGACGCTGCTAAAGTGACGTTATTGGTCACCAATCTTTCATTACGCGGTCAACTTCTTTGGGCGCGTCCGAAGCGAAAACTTTAAAGCTCGATTTTATGGCGAAAAAGCTTCGGAATCTAAATGTTTTCATTAGAATACTTTTTCTTACATGTTATAGAGAAACAAAACCACAAAAACCCTTGTGGCCGTTTAGACACTTCTAACGCTAACTTCAAATCCGTTCTAAAACTGGTCAGCACTTATCAATGATCATGATTTTAAGTTACAGTGGAAAGCACGTTGTTCAACCTTTAAGATTTTAGTCACAAAAAGAAAACAAAAACAAAACAAAACAACAACAACAACAAAAAAATGAGGAGAATGATTGCTTACGGCATGGATCGAGCGAGTGCTGCCATCTTGGATTCAGAGAACTGCGAAGGCTTGGGGAGAAGAGGACGACAAAGCAATATCTTGGGGGGAGGGTGGGGTATGGTTGAATGTGGGCCCATGTTCAACCAGGATAAAACGTCATGTGAGGTTTTAATTTTCTTGTAGGGAGTGTTTTTCACTGCTAATAGTTGTAGAGTCAGGCATAAGCCAAAGTCAAAACTGAAGGACAAAAAATATAAAAAGAAAAATTCTCGGAAAACATACAAAAATAGAATCTAAATTCATGCTAATGTTATGTTTCGACTTCTTTCTAACACAAAAATATGTTTTCTTATTATTTAAGGCAAGGACTTATAGCATAACGAGTTTGAACTGGAAATGCGCTCGCGGAGCGCGCTTTTTAGCCTTTTTGTATCTTAGTTTTATTGTTTGTCACTTTGCAATTAATGCAAATTTGCAACATTGAATAATTATTACGCCTATTTCTCCTCTCGCTTTGAATGCATAGGCCATGGTCTGGGTACTGCAAGTATGTAAACTTCATCTGCAACATTCCAGTTCAATATAGCTAGCCATGACTAGCCTTAACCACTTTTGAAGTTAACGTTAGACATGTTGCAGTCTTCGTCATGCGTCACGGTCTGCGGCGTCGATGCGATCTTTCTGTTCACTCTCTTCACGATGTCTTTTATGGTCACGTCGCAACTGCGGTATTTACTTTTCTACTGAAGCGCATTACCTACTTTCTATTCAGATCTATTCAGCTCAAAAAGAAATGAAATTGATCACCCTTCAAGCGGCTTCCTTTTGTTTACCCACAAGTCGCTGGAACAAACAAATGCCGCTTATGTGTTTTTAGATGCCAACAATACGATATTTTAATTTCCCTTCTAATTAATGCTGCACCCATCCTGTGGTTCCACTCATCAACGAATGAAGCCGGATTGATCAGTCGCTTTGAAAAACTTGTTCATTTAAAACGTTGCGAGCGTGTGTCGAGTTCACCAAGTGAAACCTTTGTTGCAGATTTAAGGAGATAAAACAAGAATAATTGCAGCTGAACTCCTGCAAGAGAACACGACTAGGTAAGTTTTACAACTTAACAGTTTTGATAATTCTTTTCTCAGTTTCCCTGTCGTTTCTTTGGCGCAAAATGTAAATAGCGTTATTTTCTTTTCATTGCATTCGCCTCTCCGATTTTCTTTTAATTTCCCTCTTCTTCGCTAAGAAATCCATTCAAAGACTACTTGAAAAGGTTTCTTTTTTCGTTCACTATAAAACGTAATGAAGGGTAGACGAGTACTGAACTTTAAATTTTTTGAATTGAACACGAGTGTGCCGAAAATTCAACAAAATTGCAATGTCATAATTTAAATAATCAGCTTCAGGGAAAACCAAACGAGGGTAAATGAATGTCACGGTCTGTATAAATAAAGCAGGCAAACGTGATAGGAATTTTCAGAAGTTTGCAAAGTTTTTGTTCAGCTGACAGTGGGAAATTTACGATTTCTTGTATGGGTTCTGGAATTTCTCTGGCGAAATTAACTTCTTTTGAATTGGTTGCTGCGTTATTATTATCTCAAGTTTATTATTTATTACTCTATCTTCTGGCAAGAATCGTTTGTTGACTACAAGTATTGTATCAATATTTGGATTTTTCTTTCAATTTGGGCGACGCCCGCTGACGTGCAAAAAACTTACCATAGTGTTGACAGAATGTTGCTCATTCTGTCACGTGCTGTGTGACTGAAAAAGGTTGCGGAAACATCGGAAACATTCGAGAATGTGCGTGGATTACGAATTCTTATATCTTGAGATCATTTCTTCTAAAAATAAAACAAACTATGATACGACATAAACAGTCATATTGCAAAAGCCACCAGAACAACGAAACACGCCTTCCATCCAGGATCACCGAACTGACTCAGTGTTCTTTTCAATTTTACGAGATTACCTTCGCTAGCTCATACCGTCTTTGTTATTGTTTCAGCACATACAGTACCGCTTGAATTCATCTGTTGTATAAGATGAGCGTCACCTATGAGAATTCATTAATGAAGCCGCTTATTTCTCTAACATCGCCGCAGGAAACCAATGTAAAAACACTATTTTTTCCCTCGATGGGAGAAGTGGCCGACAAGGGATCAGCGGGTTCACTTGAAGAACTTTTACAAGGCGATACAAAGACCAGTAACGCTGAAGTCACAGACTCAAAACGCCGCGTCAAAACAGCAGTCTTAACTCGCGTGAAACCAAATCACCGGCAAATTGACCCGGGTCACTTTTACATGGATCACTTCGTGTCAAACAAAGAAAATCGGGATTATTATTACGATCGCAACGTCACTACAGGCAAGCTTCCCGCACGACATAACACGGCGCATGTTTTGGAACACGTTTCGACGGTTTCAGGGAACATGTCTGGGAGCAGAACGCAAATAAAGAAGGGAAGAGAAATTGGGTCTTTACAAGGAAAGAGCCAAAGTGAAAAACAGTCCTTTTCAAGCGCGAGAACCACACGCGACAAGAAATCGGGCGTGACTTTACGATCTGACAAGGTGAACATCACAGTTCACGATTTGCGCTTTACGAAGTTGACACCGAAAGAACCATTGCCAAGACATTCTGTCTTCAGTAAAGAAGTAAGCAAAGCTACAGTTGTTAAACCAGAGGAGAAGAAATCAAGACCTGATTCCTTGCCTAACGTCGAACAGAATCTAAATCAACCTCTTTTACATATAGGGGAGAACAGTAATCGTGAAGCCCGCACTTGGCGACTTTCGCCTCGCTCTTTGTTGGAACAGATAAATGAGGAATCTCCTAGTCGACCCTCTACGAAGGATACAAAGAGAGGGATGAGTCGTAGTGGCACCAAGCCTAAAGGGTTAGGAACCAAACTTTCAACTCCAGTGGACAGAACGAGAAGTCCTGGCAAAGCGGTCTCCCCGAATGTGTCTTCTGCGCGCAAGAAAAACGACAAATCGCCAAAAGGGTCTAGTGTAGGGGATAGGGTTCAAGAGATGGCGCTGCCTAAAGTGACCATTAACGAAGTATTACAGTCGTGGAATATCGGCCCTCAGCGTACCAGATCATCAAGTCTTGCAGCAAAAGACCCAATGGAATTTTTACGAAAAGACCGCTCGCTATCGGATCCGAAAAACAGACCGAGTACTTACGAAGAACTCCGAAGTTGTCGATATTTACGAACTGACAAAGACGATGCAGATGTTCACGGTAGACTCTGTTCTTGTAATTCTTGTGAGCATGGCGAAGGGCTAAGGAACACGCCATACTTGAACTCATAGGGCGCATATAAATGTATCAACTTGAGTGACCGCGTTACAGTCACGAGACGATCAAACAAACAATAAACTAATGAAGCAACATTACTGAACTAAAGTAGCTCTTTTGTTCTGTATAGTAATATCTGAATATAATTGGCCGTTGTGTTGACCACGATCAATATTTGCCAGTTGCGTGTAAGGCATGCACCATTGTTAATCGCGCATAAACAGTTTTGTTCGGGATTTTTGTCATGGAAGTGTTTGGAAATGGAACAGGGATTGTGCAGAGAGTATTTTAATCACTTTTCAATTCAGGTATGTCTCACTTGATCGACTTGATCAGAGATACAATAAAAAAGGACCGTTTTGGCATAATTATATTATGTTAAAACACAGGCATAGACAAGTCGCACTTATGTGAGCACAAACATGTTAGTTTAGTCACGAATCGTCGGTATTATATTATTAAACGGTTTTGTCGACACACTTATGTGAGATGGCCGACGAAAATTGCAATACCTTGTTGATAAGTTCTAAGCGGAAATTTGAGTAATATTTCCATGACTAGCCAGTTGTCGACGTTTTTTCGACGAGCTCTTTCATGGTTAGAAAAATTAAATCGTGACTCCTAAAAAAACACCCACCCACTGAGTCGCTTGACTGCGTTGTTTTTGGCAAAGTGACCGTCATTTCAACGAGAGGAAGTGATATTTGTAAAGTTCTTTACAAGTATAGAACAATTCGAATGTAAATAATCTATAAATATCTAGATCCAAATAGTTGTATTCATAAACTGTTTATTTTCCGGTGATACATACCGGCTTAAACAAAGAAAGTTACTGTATGTAATTGAAGTTGTTGTTAAGTTAAGACAAAAACGTTTAAGATTAATTAAGTGATTATTTCCACATTCATTGCGTGCCAACTGATGCGTTTTAATTTTAGATTTCTCCTACGCGGAAGTTGTTTCCAAAATTATTTAGAAAACACCTTTAGTGCACCCTGTTGCTTTAATGCTTTGAAAATCCTTGATTTGACAGGGCTCAACACATCAGTGACTGTCATCTGACGGAAATTTGAAAAATAAATTGTGACGACTGTAAAGGCAATTATCGTTTAGCCCACGCAATTTCCTTTTTTTTTTGACGTATATTTATTGGACTAATAGGTGTTTGAACATTCATGATTGGATTCCTATTACACACGGCTGACTTTACGAGCAGAAATGGCGTCGGGCAAAACGTGGACATCACCAGGTTCTTTCATGCTGGTTTGAGGACGTTCTTATGCTTCAGCACTGACTCCTCCCATTATATGTCTAATAGGATATTTTAAAACATTTTTTTTTTATGATAACTATAAACTGAGTCCAGGGGCTTTGCCATCAACACGGAAATTCTTGCCCCGGAAATTCTTGAAAGATAACCATCCTCCTTGGAGAACCTTCAAACCATCCATAGAAAATTAGCCTCCTACAGTACCCAGACCTTCCTTGGACTCGTTACGCGATGAAGAAGCAGAAGGATAATGCGGCAAACTCAAAGAAATTTTGCCAGGGAGGTAGCGTTAAGATATCGTTGGCCCTCAGGATATGATACACCTTTTCCATCAACCGTATACCACGTAGATCAGAAGAGTCAAATCGCGTGACTTTCCTGGTGGCATTCACAGCCTCCATTTATTAAATAATCACGCAACGTTTTGTGATGATCGAAAATAGAAGCTTCCATTAGCTGACGTCAGACCTGCGGTATAAAATTTAGTCTCTCTGTTTACAAAGAGAGATGGTTCAGGCGCGGCCGGTCCTAGCAAGCAGGTTACCGTAGCAAGCGTGTTACCCTAACACTCACACATTTCCTCTTTTTTTCTTCGTCGTGTTTACAAAGCAGCTAGGGTTACCCGGGTACGCGGGTTACCCTATCTGCGTGCTAAGGCTACCCTGGCAGGCGGGTTCACTTTTTCCCTTGTAAACACTCCAGGTAGGGTTAACTCGCCCACCTGGGTTAAATTTCTACTTGTTTCCAGACCCTTTGAGTGTAACCGTTCATTTAAAAGTTGTCCCGGGTTGTAGGATTACCCTAGCTGTGAAATTTTTCTTGTAAACCCGGGCTATCTTTTGCCCTCCAGCTAGGGTTAGCTCGCTTGCTAGGGAAACCTCCCTCCTTGTAAACCTATAAAGAGGAAATCTCACAGTTAGTGGGAAAACTCCGAGAAAATGCTGGACCGTGAAGGCGCGGCTACTAATCATCCCACAATGCCTTGCAATATTCAGCAAAGGCGGAAGCCTCGCGTGAAAATTGCTTCGGAAATAACATACCGTGCAGGATGTGGTGATTGTGTTTTCTATCAAATACTACCGCTCTCTCGGGCGTTGCTGGCCAGTTTTAAAGCATGAATTTTGAAAGTCAGCATCTACGATTCTCAGTAGATTTATTCTCCAAAGCTGGACATGAAGCAATCGTGGCTCACATCGAAGGCGAGCTAAAACATCTGGAACATGCCAGAGAGTATCTTGTCAAAAGGGCGAAAGTGGAACTTGATTATGCTTCAGCGCTTGGAAGAATAAACACCGCTGCTTGTAAGGTTATCAACGACAATGACAAAGAGAGCCCGATTAGAAAGGTAAGTATTTTGAATTTAAGTTATATTTCGGTTATGTCTGTGTTCTTGTTAAGTTTATGTGAGGAATTCGGTATGGAGAGAATTGACTTGGCGACTTCGTCGGAAGCTTTTAACAGAAAGAGGACGTGAAAATTTGCGACCCTTTCTTTTGTGTTAGAAATTTGTGTGCTTGGATATTTTGTCTCTGTGATCGTTGTAAGGCAGTTAATCTTAGCTTTGTGATTAATCACGTTTATTTGTGTCGACACAAATTCTCACATTTCTCGAGTCAAAATGCTAAAATATGCTGCGTAAACAGTGTAAGGTATAAGGAACTTTTAAGCTAAACAAGAAACTCAACTTTCCTTTTCGAAGTACATGTAAGCTCACTTACGATCGAGGACGTCTTTTTGTCTTTGAGGAATTTGTATTAAAATGTCTATATCTATAAGCCATGGACAACTGTTTGTCATAAATTCTTCCTCAGCCGGGAAGTACATGGAATGTAGGAAATTTGATCGGTGAATAAAAATTACATTTGAAAATATCAATTTTTGAGAATGGTATTTTGAGCCTGTATTTGTAGTGCAATATATTACTTCCTATATTGTACTTGTAGACATTTTTCCAGCCCCACTGTTAGTGGACACTTACTGATGAAAAATGAAAGACATCAGAAAATGCAATATTTATAAACAAATGAAAACGCTGTGAGCTTGTATAAAATCAACGTTGCATCGTCAGTTTTATTTTTTACCCTATGGAGAAATCGTCCAGCTATCTGTTAGTATCGATAGAATATAAAAGATATAGCCTACATACAAATCATCCTTGGCTTGATATGTCGACTGTATTTCATTGTAAACCTTGTGAGTATATGCTGTGTAATTCTATATGCTATCTTTTTTATTTTAATCATTTTTTAATGTACACCTGTCTCACTTAGGCTGAAATTTTGCTTTTGACACATGTTGCATCTATTTATGATCTTGGTAGTTTTATTAACAATTAATAAAACTACCAAGGGACAATTATTGTCGCTTGCCTGATGTATATCTATAACACTAATATCCTGAGGTAATGCGCAGAGTGCTTTTCCAATTGCATACTCATAGGAATGAATTGGAGAGACCCTCAAGTCACAGTCTTTCAGGTAAAAGATTATAAGAAAGTCAGTATGAAACTCTCCTGACCATCAATTTTTGCTGTCAAAATTGTAAATACAAGTAATAAAATGTAGCTTACAATAATTGTTATGTAAACAAGGGATACATGTACTTTGAAATTCACCTTTTCATGGGTCATCCAAGTCACATAATGATTTTTTAAAAATAATTTTAATTAGGAAACTAACACATTTTATTGAACAGTATATGCGTTTTTCTTCCAGGCATGGTGTACATATATCTTTGAAAGTGAAAGCAAGGCAAAACTGATTACAGAATTCAGCAACCTCTTGAATTCTACTACAGTAAAAAGACTTGACCAGCTCATAGAGGACAAAAGAAACTTATTAAAAAAGTACAAGAATGAGAAATTTAGAACGGAGAGCAGCTACAAACAAGAATGTGATGAAATTGACAGACTAAGGAAAACATACCAAGAAAATGCCAAAGACTCTGAGACAGGGAAAAGAAAATATGAAGAAGTTCTTTCGAAGGACAAATTTAACAATAAGGACTGGGAACGATCTAAAGATCGATATGTGAGATCGACTCTCAAACTACATCAGAATCATAATGATTATGTACTGGCTCTGAAATCAGGAAACTGTCATCAAGGATTTTACAATGATATTCTTGTTCCAACAATGTTGAATTCTTTGCAATACTTACAAGAGGAATACATTTCCCAATGGTAAGTGTTTTGGATTCTAGCCGAACTTGTGTCATACTTGTCAAAAAGAATCCAGAATGAACTCGCTGTGGACTGATCGCCTTGATAAATATATAATTGTACACATTGTATGAAAGAAGTAAAACACAGTTTCTGTGCTTCTATCCAGTTACAGAAACACCAGTGAAGGTATGTGAGAATTGGAAATGCTGTGAAACATTAGTGCAATACTAGGCAAGTTCTAGAGCTTTTCCAGGTTCTCCCAAACTTTCACTTGAATGTGTTTCTAGATGGAAATATTCAGCAATTGTTTTCTAGATTTCATTTAAAGAAACATAAAACAGATTGAAAAACATAAATGAATGTTTTCAAAGAGATGGTGTTCCTTATATTAAAAAACTTTTCTCTTATAATATTTAAATGAGGTAGTCTTAATGTGTTGTGTTGTAGGAAGGATCTTCTCCAGGATGCAGTAAATCTTACAAACTGTTGCCGTGAGGAGTATTTGACATCAAGCCAAGCAGTACAAGCTAGTGTTGATGAAGTAAAAAAGGATAAAGAATATGCCTCCTTTATCACCAGGCACAAGTACATAAAGACATTATTATTTTTTAACATTAAGAAATACTTATTAACACTTATTAACATCCATGTAGAACATGGTCATGCACATGCCGCTCTTGAAAGAGAGAATGTGACTCTGCCTTTTTTTTCTTTTAAGCACATTTAACACTCTCTGTATGTTATGGTGTATATTAAGCCTTTTTAGTCCACTAGAAACAATGATAAATTACTCTTACAACTCACTCATGTTTTCTATAAGAAACACTCAATTTGGTTGCACTTGTTGGCTATTCACTTATTTTAAACAGTTTGTAGAAAACTTAGGTTGGCAGTTAAATTATTACTAGAGTAATTATTTGCCTGTGGCAACTGGTGAATCTTTCAGTTTGATGCTACAGTTGTGTTCGTGACTAGTTATCCATTGCAACATACATGTTTGCCATTGTATTATAGGATTTTGCAAAATTTAGCTGTTGCAAAAATGTCTTTAAGGTACCATAGTACATTTTACTTAATAGGTGACTGATGAAATGTACAGATTTTAACCAATTCTCACTTTTAAATTTTGTTTTCAGGCAAAACCAGGCACCAGCTTACCCATTTGTGTTCGATTCAGCTCTCATTGAACTGACATCTTCAGGAGTTATTGCTAATGAACTGCTTGTCAATGATTTGACATTAGAAAAACTTCAACACAAGTAAGTACCTTGTGTGATTAGTTTTTGCTCTTCTTCTGATTTTGAAATATTTCATAAAGAAAAGATGGCTTCAAGATCAAATCATGTACATGGTGAATGTTGTATTATTATGATATATTTTTTTTATGTGATAATGTGTTAATTAGTGCACTTATAGTTGCTCAAAAGACTGGGCTTGCTGGGTTTAATTTTGCAATGGTTTATTATTAGGGGGTGGGGATGGCGTGGGTATGTGGCAAGGACGGGCAGTGATATACATGTACATTTTGGATACTGTGTCTGTGTACTGTGTACACAGTAGTACATGAAAGTTTGATCTTTCTTCAAAGGTTACATGTGTAACTAAACTTATGGACAATTAAGAGCTCATTTTAAGTGGGCTTATTTTGACATTTTTGCTGGTGGTGACGTGGAGCTGGCTTATTTTCAGGGGGGGATATAACTGCAGAATTTTATCATATCGGAATTTAGTAGTTTGTTACTTGTAATATTTGACATGTGGGGAAAACTGAAATGGGTTAGATGTTTGCATATCAGACTTTTTTTTCTGACTATGAATTCTTGAATGGCCTTGTAGTCAGATGTCTAGAGTAAATGCATTGGGCTAAGGAAGTTGCCCATGTTTACTCTTCAAAAAGGAACTTTAGAAAGAAAAAGGGTGTTGGTCAACAGTTATACTATTTGTCTTATTTGTCTTTAGGAGAGCACTGCTCAGTAATGAACTTGAAAATGTGGAACAACAACTGGAGGCTAAAGTAAGTTAATTTTTGAATTAATAATAATTATTATTGTGGTCAGTGCATTTTTAATTGACTGGATTTTACTCTTGATGTTATAGAAAGCAGAACTGGAACAGGAAACCAACAAGCTCCAGGCTGAAAAGACTGGGGGCAGCAATGAACACTTAAGGTGCGAAGTTGGTTATTTTGCGATAATCTCAAGCTGCTTGCTAATTTGCACTTGCAGACCTTTCATGTTACATGTGTTCAGTTAGTTGAACAGTGTTGTGCAAAAACAGGATTGGCATAAAAAAGCAACCAAACATCTGCAAGAAGCTATCTCATGTAATTGAGTTAAGTTCGAAAATACGTAACACTGTTACACCCCTTCATATGTTCAACATGTACTGTCACTGTGGTAAGTCAATGTCATATTATTTTATCAGTTCAAGTGCTAACTTTGTAATTCTTAGTTATGACAATTAAACTTCCTTGTGTCCGGACAGTTTGTTGTGCTGTATTCGAAAGTAGGACTATAGGAGATATTTTGAAAGGAAAGAGAAGAACCCTATTGTCTACAGTTGGTTTTCATGTTGGGTCCTATACATCAAATACAAAATAACCCTTGTCAGCAATTACAATGTAGATAGACCTGCAGTGTGCACATAAGGTTGAAGTCACCTAGCCTTTGCACACATTGTGCCCTCTTAAAGAATTGCTGACCCAACTGTCAAGGAGTAACATTCTAATTTGGAAATGTTGGTTCTTGAGGAAAACCAGGCAACTTGGTTGCAAGAAAACCCTCTTCTACAAGGAGGGAAGTAACGACAAATAAATTTAATCCAGATCACACATAAAATGTTTACTCAACTTTATGTATCACAATCTAACTTTCTTTTTACTTAACTTTTAGCATCATTCAAAAAGAGCAGACTGTCGCAGTTCTCAGTTGGCATGTGGATGACCTGAAGTGCAGTCAAACAAAACTGCAGGTACTTAAATGAACTATCAAGATACAAATTCTTCTGACCAGTCATCAAATATCTCTAATCTTCTAGTTTGGAACTATCTGATTTCATCATAGAGCAAGTTTTCTTTGTACATGTATAGGGTAATAACAGGTGTAGATTAGTTGGTATCTAGACCTACCCTAGGGGTGTGGCCCATACTGCCAAAGCTTGACCAGTCTAGGTCTGTAGCCTCAAGCAACTTGGGAGAACCACTATTCCCATCACTACCTATCCCCAGTGTTTTGCCAGGTTGCTATAACAGTTCCCTGGTAGCCCTACAGTACTGGCAAATTGTCCTGGGTGTTTAACAGCACTGCAAGAGAAGTGCTCTGTCAAAAAAGCCAGCCAGTGCTAAAACCCAGACTGCTCAATCAATTGAGTCAGTGCTCCATCCTTTTTAGGGAACCAAACAAAATATTTGTTAAATTCTCCTTAACGAGCTGTTCACTTGAGTTCATGACATACTTTGTAGTTCTGCTCATATTCTTTACTTGGCTATTCTCCCCACCAGCCACTCAGGGAAAATGTTGCCTCTTTGTTTGTAATAGTTGACAATCTAAGGAGAGACCAAAGCCTTCAATCAGTGACCCTGCATGGTATGAAGCAGAAGTGTAAAGTGTGATTTATCAAGATAGTGTTTGTTTCCTAATTGGAGCTTTTGGTTTCATCGTTACTGTTGTTGTTACATTTCAGAAAATGTGTACCATGATCGGATCTGCTCTGGACAAACTTGGTAATTCTCAACCTTCAAAGTTTGCAGACCTTTCTGCTCCAGGATCACCATCAGGGGTGAGCGGATTTGAAGTTGTGTTTCGTATTTCGTAATAGTACCTCAATTGTCAGGCATTATAAAACTTGGAAATATAGTAAACAATATAAACAATATCGAGAACAGCCTTCCTAAAACAACAACAGTCAACATGTATTTTTGTGGGTTGCTTCCTGCAGGAATTTGGTCAGTCAACACCTGAGATCAGAAAAAGCAATCGAAAAATACCAACACTTTTTAAGAAAAGAAAGACGGAGAGAGAGAATTCTTCAAGCAACTGTGATTCCAAACCTCGACGATACGTGGCGTCATCCAATGAAGAGAGAGTGAATGGAACTTCAAATATTGAAGACTCCGAAGATAGTGAGGATGAAGTCGCAGGAGAATACCTCGAGGTAAAAAAGAAAATGCATTTGTTATTGCTGGAGTTTTTAAAACACGAAATGGCAAAATGACGAAATGTTACTACGGATAACCTAAATGGCACTCCGGTTAGCTTGAATATCACTGACTTGAAGAAGCTCTCAATAATTGTATGGGTTAACCGTATCATACATTTTGTTATTTCTTTATTTCACCATTTCGTGTTTTAACACTTGCTACGATGTCGTATTCAGGAGCTGTCATGAGAGTTTTTTGACCGAGGCATACCTCTTGAAACCGCTGGCAAGCGCAGGAGAAATTGCAGTAGCCAAATCACGTGGTTGATTTATTTGGCTTCTGATTGGCCAAAAAATCTTTCTTTGACTGGTTGCAGCACGTCTGACAAGTTGATGTTGGTCAAAATCGAAAAAGCAAAACAGCAGCAAGAACTTGATACATATAAAATCAAAGGCTCCTGTGAGCAGCTCATGGATGAACGTTTCCTTTTGCCTCTGTTTCAAAACGAGTCTTCATGCGAAAGCTTTCAT